AGAGCATTTCCAGGAGTCTCCTGTGCGGCATCAGCAAGCCTTGACTCCATCCCAGTGACGGCCACCAGGTCCTGGCCTGCTGCCTGTGGCCCTGCCAGACCTAATGAACCCTGCCCAGGGCCCTTTTGGCCTCTCCCTGTGCTGGGCTTGGGGAGGCCCAGGTGAAGAGAGCTGCAGGCTCTTCGGAGGGTGCAAGGGTGGGAGATATGCTGTCCCACCCAAAGGGACCGGCTGCTGCCTTGAAAGGTGGAGGGGGACCCATGACGGCTAAGGTGACACAGAGACGGGGAAGACACAGAAGCAAAGCGGCCGAGAGCAGTTGTGGGAGGAAAGGGAGAGCTGCCGCTGCTGTTTCTCTTTTCCCTGCATTTGAGAATCAAAGGCAAAGATTGCTTTAAAAAGGAAAAAGGAAGGGCTTCCCTGGTGGCGCAGTGGTTAAGAGTCCGCCTGCCGATGCAGGGGACGCAGGTTCGTGCCCCGGTCCGGGAAGATCCCACATGCCGCGGAGCGGTTGGGCCCGTGAGCCATGGCCGCCGCGCCTGCGTGTCCAGAGCCTGTGCTCCGCAACGGGAAAGGCCACAACAGTGAGAGGCCCGCGTACTGCAGAAAAAAAAAAAAAAAGAAAAAAAAAAAGAAAAAAAAAAAGAAAAAAAAAAAGAAAAAAAAAAAGAAAAAAAAAAAGGAAGTAAAGTCCCTTGGAAGGTGGTGCAGGCTGCCTGGACCACTGTGATAAATGGTGGGAAGGCCTCCAACTCACCTTGGGGCAGCCAGTGTGCTGTTGCACTCTGGGGTTTCTCTGCTTACATCTTACAATTTCACAGTCATTGAACCCATTTATCTGCCTCTGTCTGCAGCTGCGCTTGGGGGCAAGGGGGGCTCTTTTCTTACTTGTGTCCTGCCACCATCACCCCATTTCTCCCACCTGACCCTCAGCTGCTCCCCTAAGGGCCTTTGGGGTGGGATGCAGAGGCAGGAGGACCCTGGATCTTGGAGACACACAGTGGGCTCAGTTCTGCTATCAGGAAGGGCCCAAGGCGGGACAGCCCAGCCCAGCCCCAGATGCCCCAGCTTCGTCAGCACCCTCCCGTGGTGTCCCCCCTCCAACCCCTGCCCCTCCCAGGGCTCCCCATCTCCTCTGAGCGCAAGCTGGGCCTTTCCTGTGGCCCTGGCCGCTAGGTCGCGCTGACCGCTGCCCTCTGCTGGCCCAGAGTCAGCATTGCATGCCCCTCTCCCACTAGTTTTCCAAGTCTGGGGTGAGTCTGTTTGGTCACCTGTACCCAGGAGCAGCTGAGGGCACAGGTCTGTGGGAGGCACGGGGTGGAGGGGGGTGACAGGGGCACTGGGCCCACCCTTACCACTGCATGGAAGAGCCACAGCTTGTTGTAGCCAGAGGGCGGGGCTCAGACCTGTGGAGAATCAGCAGATGCACTGTCGGTTCTGCCTTGATTCAGGGGCACAGATGCGCCCTCTGAAGGTGACGCACAAGCTTATTTTCTGCAAGGAAGAGTGGGACCAAGGGAGGAGGACAGCAGGACAGCTGGGGAGGGCGCTGAGCTCTTGGGCATCTCCAGGTCCCAGGCTTGGGGGGAGGAGCCCACAAGTGTCCCCGAAAAGCCCAAAGGCAGCTGCCCCATGTTGCCCATCAGGAATGAAGGCATGTACAGGCCAGATCAGGATTCTCAGAGACTTGCTACCTCACTCCCACCCCACCAGCTGTTCCTCCTCAGATGCCTCCTTGCTAAAGGTGGGCTCCTGGGAGCAGGGGTGGTCGGCACTTGTTGGTAAACCCCCAGAAACAGGCGCAGGACCCACACTTGGGCTCAGAGAACACAACGCTCGTCAGAACTGGGTCTGCCACGCATGGGATGGCCAACCTGCTGAGCCCCAGGTCACGCGTGTCCCCAGGCACACGAGACGATGGTAGCTTCCAACCCACAAATGGGCTCTGACACCCTGTGCTTCCTCTCAACACAGGAACATAGAGCTGAGGCTAAGGGGCCTTTGAACAAGATGCTCCCGCACCCCTGCAGCCCTCCAGTCCCCCTCCCAGCTCACCACCTGGAAGTGTGCCCAGGAGCTGGTGACATCCCCTCCCCTCCCCTATGGCATCTGCTGAGTGCAGGAGTTGGGGGAGTGGCCCTTTCCTTCCAGAAAGGATGACGAGGGTGGCCATCTAGGGCAGGCACTCAGGAGTCCAGAGACATCTCCAGCCACTGGCCTTGGTGAGGCTCTGCCCCTCGGGGTCCATTCCTCAGCCACAGCACGAGGCCTCGGTCACAGTGACCTCGCCCTGCTCACTGTTCTGGCTCCAGGAAGCTTGTGGTACTGGTCAGCACTCCTCCGGTGGACAGAACCCACCAGAAGCAAACGGGCAGTTCCCGGGGACGCACGGAAAGTGCTCTCCGGCACCTCTCCTCTCAGCTGTCCTCGTAGCCTGTCTCCGCGGCCCAGCCTCCCGCCGCCGGCCAGCTGCCTCTGCTCCTCCAGCCACGTGGGAGACCACAGCCACTGGGACTTCCATTTGTGCAAAGTCTAACCCAGGCCTCGAGGACCCTGCCCTCCCCGCTTCACTCTCTGTAGGCCCCCAGGCCGTCGTCTAGAGTCCTGTCCCGGAAGCAGACCCCCAGACAAAGGTTCAAATTCAAGCAGTGTATTGGGCTGGTGATCCCAGAAGACCCCGGAGGAAAGCCGGGACTTGAGACAGGAAGAGGAAAGAAGCAATAAAAGGTGTTTCTCGGCCCGTTATGCCCACAAGGGGCAGAGGCACGAGGGGGCAGAGGAGCCCCACGGGAGGGAGCCGGCGTCTGTCCACCCACCCCATCCGTCACCGGCTCTGCTCCTGGATACTAACGCTGAGCAGCACGCAGGCCATGGGTGCCAGCCCCCGGGTCACGATGAGCCAACCAGGCCCCTCGGTCAGTCCTCCCCCACTCACCACGCCCAGCCTGCCTTTGGCTCTGGGGATTTAGCAGGGACCAACCAGGCTGAAGGGCAGCCTGGCTGTGAGCTGATGGCCCGTCCCTGTTGAAGTCCCCAGGGAGGAACCGCGCGCACACGTGCGCGCGCACACACACCACCAGCCCAACCTGCTTGTTGCACTGCACCGCCTCAGGGCCTCTTCACGGCCTTGACCTCTCGGGGAGCTGGTGGGAGGGGGGGCGGTCCTTGCTTTGTGGCAGCTTTGTTCCCTGAGACCCAAGTCTTTCAGAGTCCCTCTGTTGACCAACATTTGGGTCCAAAATGAGGACCAGCTCTGAAGCACTGGACGTGGCCACCCCTGAGCCTTGGAAGATGCAGAGCCCCAGAGCAGGGTTAGAAGAAGAGGCAGGCAGCCCCGGGGGGCCCTCCCTGTGGGGCAGCACCGCCACGGATATGTGTGCTGCGGTGGCTTCTAAAACTTCTCCACTCTCTCATCAGGCTGGAAACCCCAAATGGCGCCCATGGTCCCAGAACTCGGGCCGTCAGGAAAGCAGTGCGCTCATGACCTCAAAGACCGTGATAGCCAAGGGACCACTGAGGTCAGACCTCAGTGGACAGGCTGACCCACGGTGGGAGGACGCACTGGGCCAGGGAGGCCTGGCCCTGTGATGGTGTTGCAGACACAGCCCGGGGAAAGGCCTGGAAGTGGGACCTGAGGCTGAGGTGCTGCTGTGCCATGTCTCCTGCGGGTCCCAGGATGGGGACGTCCGAGGGGCCTGGGGAAGACCTGGCGCTTAGATGGTCCCCTGCTGTGGGATGGGAGCTGAAGGGGGCACCTCCCAGCCCGAGTCCTCTTCCCGCAGCAGACAGACGACGCGGCACAGACGGACAGCCAGCCGCTCAATCCCTCCGACCCCACAGAGAAGCAGCAGCCCAAGCGGCTACACGTCTCCAACATCCCCTTCCGGTTCAGGGACCCCGACCTGCGGCAAATGTTCGGGGTGAGTGTGTGCGGCCCCTCCATCTGCACTCCCACCCCCAGCGCACAGCCCAGGTGTCAGAGAGGCCCCCTGGGTTTCCTGCCTCCCATTGCCCTCTGGGTCCATCCCTGCTCTGACCCGAGCCTGTGGGGTAGGAGGGAGGAGGAGGGATGCAGGCTCAGGGTAGAGAGACCTGCGTGGCTGCCACCTCCACCACCTGCCCCTCAGGCCCAGGCCAGTGCCAGTCAGGTTATCACTCCGCTGGCCCCTCCTTCTGATGAGGGCTCCAGGGACCCCTGTGCCCCCAGAGCAGCAGCCCAGCCTCCTAGCCTCACACCCAGCAGCCCTGCCTGTCCTGTGTGCCTGGGGCCCAGGCACTCAAGCTCTCTGGGCATCCTCCAGGCCCCAGGGGTGGGGCGACAGGGGAGCACACGATGGGAAGCAAGTGCGCGTTCCGTTCCTGGATTCTCCCTGTCTGTTCCTAGACTTTGCTCTGTGGGATTTCAGCCAGTTGTGGGGTTACTGTAAGATCCTGCAGGGAGGCCCCTAAGTCCCGTGGTGACTTTATTCTGTCACTTGATTTGAACACCTAGCAGGTGCTGACACCCACCGGGTGCCAGGGTTGCCCCGTGGGCAGGTGAGGGGGCGGCAGCCAGGGCTCAGCCCCGGCCACAGGGGACACATGCGCCCTCCCTCTCTTCCCTCTCGCACCCCAAAGTCTCCTCCCCCTGCCTGCCCTGGGCCCTGAACCCCAGCCCTCCCCTCATGCCACCCACCACCCCAGGTGGGATTTGTCAGGCAAACAGGAAGTGGCCCTCCTGGGATGGACTCAGCACCCACGCCTGCCCTTGCCCCAGGTAGCCACTTCTCTTCCTGGGGGCCAGGCCACATTGGATTTGAGGCTAGACCCAGCAGGGTGCAGGCAGGATTTAGAATCATCAGAAGATGAGAATTCTGCCCCCTCTTGGCCCTGGGCCTGGGCAGCTGCCAAACCTCTCTGAGCCCGGGGCCCCCACTCAGAGCAGCTGGTATTACGATGTTAGTAGGTCGGTTCACTTGGACGCCCTTCCAGTCCCTACATCACGGGCCTCAGCACACTCAGTCCCTACAGGCCGCCCAGGGGCACCCGTGGTCCCTGCAGGATGCCCATGAGTTCACTCGCCCCTGCAGCACAGCAGCACCATCCTCCCTCTCCAGTACTTGTCAGGATTGGCATTACCTCACTGTCTGGTTCCATGTCCCACCTTGCCCACGTGACACCCACCTCCCAAATGTTACAGGGTGAAGGGGAAACTCATCAATTGTATGCACTGGAGACCTCAGGACAGGCCCCTCGGGCCCTCAACTGGGATTTTAGGGGACCTGGTTCACAGGTTCCTGGTCTCACGTGCCAGTGAGGGAGACAAGGCTGCCCCTTGGGAGTTCCAGCCAGCGATGGGGCAGGAAGGGGGCAGCCAGAGCGTCTGGGCCCAGCTGACTGGTATGTCCTGGTCAGGCAGAAGGGCCTGGGGTCACTGCACCCTGCCCCACACTCAGCCCAGCCCCAAACAGCACAGGCAGCAGGCAGTGCAGGGTCCCTCCCTAGCACTTTCTCTCTTCCAGGGGCTCCTCTCTCTGCCAGCACCCCACCTTTTGGGAAGGACTTACCCAGAACCCATGTGTGTGAATTAGGGCTGGCTGTCGGCCGCAGATGGGACCAGTGTCCTGGCAGGAAAAGCTCTCTGCACGGGAAGGTGGGGAGGGATGCCCCCCCGCCACCTGCCGCCAGGCTACCCAAGAGCACCTTCACGTCCCTGCAGGAGGCGGAAAGGGGGCCGGGGGCAGAGGACCTGACACAGGCAAGGGGCAAGTGTCCCATGGGGAGCAGGCAAGCCGGGCCAGCAGTCTTAACACACCCTCTCCTGTCTCCCCCACCCCATCTCTGTCTCTGCAGCAATTCGGAAAAATTTTAGACGTGGAGATCATTTTTAACGAGCGGGGCTCCAAGGTGGGTGCCGCCCAGAGGCCGCCACCATTACAGCGCCCGGCTGTAGGTCCCACCAGGCTAACGTGTGAAATGTGCGTTTGCTTCCTGGAGAGCTCCGAGCCTGAGGACCCCTGAGCGACACGGGTGCTTGTACTCCCCGCTCCTCCACCCGCCCCACCTTCCCCACCCCGCTGTCTGTGTTGTCGCTGCCGCTGCTGAGGCTTCCTTCTCTCTAAGTCGCCAGGACCTCTCTGTCTGCGCTTGGAGCCCCAGCCCCTGGGCCTGGGTCCCCAGCCTTCGAGCCGCTCCCCCGGGGGCCACCGGCCTTCCTGGAGCTGCCCCGAGACTCGGTGGAGGGCCTGCAGGGGGCAGGCGGGAGGGTGCCCGCTCCTGGACGGGAAGACCCCCCCCCGCCCCGGTTGGGGCTCCTGGGGTGACGATGGGTGAGGCTGCCCCCACTCTGGGTCCAGAAGCCCAGCCTTGGCCCCCCAGGTGGGGTGAGGGCAACAGTCCTGGCCCCTGGTCAGGTCAGCATCTCTCTTATAGCTCTGGCCTGTCCCCTCAAGTGCCAGGTGGTCAGCTCAGGTCAGGCTCAGGCCAGGCCAGCAGCTGCCCCACCCCCAGGGCCGTACGTCTCCCAGGCGTCCTGCCAGTGGCACCAGGACAGACCTCTGGGCTGCCCAAGTCTCTCCTTCAACTCACCTGACTCAACCCCTCTCTCTCTC